CATAATGTGGATGAACTTGGAGGACATTATGCTGAGTGAAATAAGTCAATCACAAAAGGACAAATGTTGTATTAGTCCATTATTGTAAAAGTTAAGGAAAGATTTATCTGTAGAAGGAAATTTTCTTTGTTGGTTACCAGGGTTGGGAGGGGAGAGGAGAGAATGCTGTTAGATAGATAGAGATAAGCATTGATTTGGGTAAAAGAAGGGCAATGTACCAAATATGAAGGACCAATATGGCGGCACTGAGGAAGAGAAAGAGAGATACATGAGACATACCGACAACAAAGATGAACCCTTTTGCACACACAGTACTGTGTTGTCAGTGAAGGCAAACATGGGTATATGGGTGGATAGATGGGTAGACAGGCTGAACGATTAGGTATTTCTATGAAATGGGGAGTGTATCAAAGAACATATATAGGGTTGGCAGACAATGTTCTTAAAAGTGTGTATGTGAATGATCAGAATTCCCAGGTATATACCAGAGCTGACAAGGGGCAATGTTGTGGTCACTGCTTGGTCATACTCAGAGGGACAGAGTAGTTGACTGTGGGCTTGGGACCATAGTGACAGGGGACATCAAGCTCAATTGGCATAACATAATATACAAAACATTGTTCCACCTCCTACTTTGACGAGTAGCGACTGGGATCTTAAAAGCTAGCAAGGTGCCATCTAGATGCAACGATGGGTCTCTCCTTGTCCAGAGCAAAAAAGAATGAAGAAAACCAAAATTCATGGAAACAATTAGTCCTAGCGATTGGTACACCATCCGATCTGCAGCCTATATTGTGAGACCATGTTTCTATATAACCACCCTATACGTAACCATTTTAAGTATGTAGCCATTTCGCAATATGCCTTAGCATTTACTTCACGCTTCAGTGCTTTAGTTACTGGAAAAACCACAAGGAGTCCTGACTACCCCCACCTCATCGATACTCCCAAGCACACTCCTTAGCAACAACCAATAAGTAAATAGCAAGAAAATACCTTACCTAAAATAGTTAGAAATGGCAGTTGGTGGCTTCAGCCCACAAGACAGAGCCGATCAAGTAGGAACAACTAGCAACTTGAAAAATGTCAACCAATCCTGTAATTTTCTGATTGAAACTTCCTCATTTCTGCTGTAACCCCTATAAAAACCCTGTTACCCCTGAGTTTGGGGCTCTCAATCCTGAACCGCTGCATCGGTGATGGTTGAGGGTCCAAACTCGAGCTTGAATAAACAACCCCTATGCTTTTGCGGTTCAAACCCATCAGCAAGTCCTCGGAAGGAAGGTTGGGCAATCCTACTTCCGTAGTGATACTGCCTCGGAAACCCAAGGAGGGGTCGCTATGAGTCAGGGCTGACTCGACGGCACATAACAACAACAACAACATGCTTTTGCAGTGGAATCAGCTCCTTGGTGGTTTTTGGGGATTCAAGATCTGGGTGCAACATTTGGGGGTTCATCCGGGATCCCCAGATACCCCAGACTCCTGAACAAGGGGGTTGCAGCTGGCTGGTAAGTGTTTAAATGTTTGTTGTTTGTTTAAGTTACTTGTGTAATACCTGGGGCCCATTTTCTGCAAGGCTGACTTTGGCCTAAGTGGACGCAGAGGCAGGCCATCAGCCAGAGGACCTGGAAGACGTTCCAGGGCCTCTTCTGGAAGTGGATTAGAAACCCCTTCAACCTGGGGAGGAAGTAAAAGTTGTCCTCCAATCTGGAACCTGTAAAGGGACGAAGCGGGTTGCTCCCGCAGCATGGCGTGAGGCCGTCGTCCTACTTTTGGTTTTGCTTCCAATCTATGGGAGGCATATTTTGTTTTCCTTTTTGTGTGTCTATTTGGTTTTTGTTAGTGTCCTTAGTTTTGTTTAATCAGTGGACGGACGAAATGGGACAAACTGTGACGACTCCTCTTTCTCTCCTAACTGACAATTTCAAAGAAGTTAGAAGGAGGGCACACGACTTAAGTTTAGAAATCAAAAAAGGAAAATTTGTAACATTGTGTAGCTCAGAATGGCCTACGTTCAACGTAGGATGGCCAGCCGAAGGTACGTTTGATCTTCAGATTATTTTAAAGGTGAAAGAAGTTGTGTTCCGGTCCAGCTGGGGCACCCGGACCAGGGATCATATATTATCATATGGCAGGATTTAGTGGAAAATCCACCCCCTTGGTTAAAGCCGTTGTTACCTCTTTCTCTTCCTAAGCAGGCACCTAAAACTATCCTGGCAGTACTAACTCATACTGCCCGGAAGAAAGAATCTGAAATTAAACCTTCGGCACCGACCTACCCAGTCTTTCAGAGTGGGACAGAGGAAGAACTCCTTTTTCTCCCTCCTTATTAAACCCCTTCAGCAGTTATTGCAGCTACAGAGGGTGTGCTGCCCCAAGTGCCGGACGATGGTGGGGCAATGGCAGCAGCAGGTCCAGCGGCCAGCACCTGTGGAAGAATGAAGCACACAGCCCCCTCTAGTGGACCAGGAGATTCCACAGTCTTGCTGTTGCGGGCTGCAGGGCCCACAGACACAACCGGCAACCAGCAACTTCACTATTGGCCTTTTGCACTAGTGACCTGTACAATTGGAAAACTCAGAATGCCAAGTTCTCAGATAATCCCAGAGATTTAACTGACCTCCTAGAGACTATTTTGTTTACTCCTCAGCCTACCTGGGACGATTGTCAACAGCTCCTCCAGATTTTATTCACCACCGAGGAACGTGAGAGGATCCAGATGGAAGCCCAGAAATCTGTACTGGGGGATATCGGGCAATCCACTACTAATATAGATGTGATTAATGCCACCTTCCCTTTAACTCGTCCTAATTGGGACTACAACACGACTGAAAGTAAGGAGAGACTCCGGGTGTACCGTCAGACTCTAATGGGAGGTCTCAGGGCAGCCGCAAGGAAGCCCGCTAATTTGGCTAAGGTAGGTGACATACAGCAAAGCAGGGATGAAAGTCCTGCCGCTTTCTTAGAAAGATTAATGGAAGCATTTCGTCAATATACCCCCATGAATCCGGAAGCGCCTGAAACTAAGGCCGCACTAATCATGGCTTTTGTGAATCAAGCAGCCTCAGACATTAGGAGAAAATTACAAAAAATTGACAGACTAAATGAAAAAAGTATTCAGGATTTAATGTTAGTTGCAGAGAGGGTTTATAATCACAGGGAAAGTCCAGAGGACCGACAGGCCAAGGCACTAGTGGCAGCCAGTGACCAGAACACTCGGAACCTTGCAAAAATCTTACTTGCCTCAACAACTGGGAGCGTCCGAGAAAGAGAACAACAACTGCAGAAAATCGCAAAATACCGAGGTAAGGGGGACTTCCCCAAGGGAGAACGCCCTAAACTGGGCAAGAATCAGTGTGCCTATTGCAAGGAAAATGGACATTGGGCAAAAGAGTGCCCAAATAAAAGAACTCATAAACCACAGACTAAAGTACTAGAATTGGGGGAACTCAGTGATTAGGGGTGACGGGGTTCAGTTCCCCTCCCCGAACCCAGGGTAACCCTTAAAGTAGAGGGGACTCCGATTGATTTCCTGGTGGACACCAGGGCACAACATTCAGTCTTACTTAAACCTCAAGAAAAACTGTCTAATAAAACCTCCTGGATTCAGGGGGCCATAGGAGAAAATCAATATTCATGGACTACCCAAACAACAGTGGATCTCGGCGTGGGTTGGGTATCCCACTCTTTCATGGTATTCCAGAATGCCCCTATCCACTTCTTGGGAGAGATATACTAACCAAAATAGGAGCACAAATCCACTTTCAAAAAGGAGGGGCAACCATTATGGACAGTAGGGGCCAACCTATTCAAGTGTTAACTGTAAACCTAGAAGATGAATATAGACTCCACCAGCAACCCCTTCCTCCCCCATCGGAAAATATAAAACAGTGGTTATCAGCTTTTCCTAAGGCATGGGCTGAAACTGGAGGTGTAGGGTTAGCAAAACATAGGCCACCGGTTTATGTGGAAATTAAACCTGGAGCGGACCCAGTCAGAGTCATCAGTACCCTATGTCACGAGAAGCCTGAGAAGGCATAAACCCCCACATCCGGTGCCTGTTAAAATTAGGAATACTCCGACCCTGTCAGTCTGCTTGGAACACCCCTCTACTCCCTGTTCGAAAACCTCATTTCAACGATTATAGACCGGTACAAGACCTCCGAGAGGTCAATAAATGGGTCATAGACATTCATCCTACTGTTCCTAACCCATACACCCTCCTTAGTTCTTTACCCCCAAATCACCAGTGGTACTCAGTCTTGGACCTTAAAGATGCTTTTTTTTTAGTTTACCATTGGCCCCAAAGAGCCAGGACCTGTTTGCCTTTGAGTGGACAGACCCCATGGAAGGCATTAATGGACAACTAACCTGGACGAGATTACCTCAGGGGTTCAAAAGTTTGTCTACAATTTTCGACGAGGTGCTGCATGAAGACCTGGGTAAGTTCCGATCCAACCACCCTGGTCTCACACTGTTACAAGATGTAGATGATCTCCTAGTTGCTGCAGCAGACTACAAGACCTGCCTCCAAGGGACCAAAGACTTACTCCGAACATTAGGAGACATGGGCTACAGAGCCTCAGCCAAAAAGGCTCAACTTTGCCAACCCGAGGTGAGCTATTTGGGGTATATGTTATAAGAAGGACAAAGATGGCTGACTAGGGCCCACAAGGAGACTCTGCTAAAAATCCCTACACCCAACACCCCACGCGGGGTGCGGGAGTTCCTTTGGATCAGTGGCTACTATAGACTCTGGATACCAGGTTTTGCAGAACCGGCAAAGCCTCTCTATGATGCAACCAATGAGGGGCAGAAATTTCAGTGGACAGAGGCCATGGAAAAATCCTTTAATTCAATTAAGACTGCCCTTTTGTCCGCTCCTGCCCTTGGACTATCTGATGTAATAAAACCCTTCCATCTATACATTGATGAAAATAAGGGGGTAGCGTAAGGAGTTATAATCCAACACCTAGGCCCCTGGAAAAGACCGGTAGCCTATCTCTCAAAAAAATTGGACCCAGTGGCGGCAGGGTGGCCCCCGTGCTTACGCATAATAGAGCAACAGCCTTGCTAGTCAAAGATGCAGGCAAACTTACACTGGGACAAGAACTATCTATCACCACCCCGCATGCCATAGAAGGGACTCTTAAGCAACCTCCTGATCAATGGCTCAGCAATGCACGGCTCACCCACTACCAAGGACTATTACTGAACCCAACTAAGATTATCTTCCAGTCACCTATGGCACTGAACCCTGCGACCCTGTTACCAGATCGGGATTTGGGTGCTCTGCTCCATGATTGCATCAACGTTCTGGCTCAAGTGCACGGAACCCGAGCTGACCTACGAGACACACCCTTACCGGATGCCAAGGTTACCTGGTATACGGATGGGAGCAGCTTTGTGCGTGATGGACAAAGGTATGCAGGGGCAGCAGTCATAACGGAAACTGCAATCGTTTGGGCTGAACCATTACCGGCCGAAACATTGGCTCAACAAGCTGAACTAATAGCATTGACCAAAGCCCTAACTTTGGGAAAAGATAAAACGTTAAATATTTATACAGACAGTCGTTATGCTTTTGCCACGGCACATATTCATGGAGCGATCTATCGAGAAAGGGTCCTGTTAACTGCAGAAGGAAAGACAATTAAAAATAAAAATGAGATCCTAGATCTACTAGCTGCTCTATGGCTCCCAAATAAACTTGCCATCATTCATTGTCCAGGACACCAGAATACCACCTCCCCAGTTGCCCGAGGCAATAATTTGGCAGACCAAACAGCCCGAGAAATTACGCTGTCTACCAACCTAGTATTAACCTCCAACCTACCCGATCCTGGGAGCCCTGCCTTACCTACAAACCCCAAATACACTGAGGAAGACTTGAAATGGATTACGCAATTACCCGGAACTCAGAACGTATGTTAACTGGTTGAAATCAGCAGATCACAAAGCCATCCTCCCCGAAAAACTGGGAGAAGAAATTTTATTCAAAATACAACAGGCCACCCATTTAGGAACCAAAACGATGCAGGAATTACTAAAACGGGCAGATGTAGTAATTAAAAATGTTCAATCTAAAATTGAAATAATTGTTTCTGACTGTAAAGCCTGTCAATTAACCAATGTTACTAAGAACCCTCCGAATCTAGGCTCAAGATCAAGAGGTAGCACACCAGGGACTTGTTGGGAAGTGGACTGCACGGAGGTAAAACCAGGGAAATATGGATATAAATATTTGTTAGTCTTTATAGATAACTTTTCAGGGTGGGTGGAAGCCTTCCCCACCAAGCGAGAAATGGCCCACATTGTAGCCAAGAAGCTACTAGAAGACATCCTACCCATGTATGGTTTTCCTACTATGATCGGGTCAGATAATGGACTGGCATTTGTATCTAAGGTAATACAGGGTTTAGTAACTATTCATGGGGCTAATTGGAAATTACATTGTGCTTACAGATCCCAAAGTTCAGGCCAGGTAGAAAGAATGAACAGAATTCTAAAAGAGACCTTAACCAAATTAACCATAGAGACTGACGGAGACTGGGTGACTCTCCTCCCCTTCGCCCTATTTCAGGTCTGTAACTCTCCTTTTAAATTAGGATTAACACCTTTTGAAATTGTCTTTGGCAGACCTCTACCTATTACTCCCAGATTCCAGTCCGATTTGTTACGTGAAATTGATAATCATGAACTTATTCTTTCCCTTCAAGCCCTGCAACAGACGCAGGAAGACATCTGGCTGAATTTAAGAGCCCTTTACCAATCTAGTCCCCTTCCCAAACCTCACCAGTACCAGCCAGGTGATTGGATGTATGTGCGGAGACATCGAAAAGAGACTCTACAACCTCGCTGGAAAGGACCCTACCTCGTGATCCTGACCACACCCACTGCCCTCAACGTTGACAGAATAACCTCCTAGATCTATCATACTCACATCTGCAAAGCCGATCCTGTCTCTGATCAGGACTCACCACGGCGCATCTCCAAGGACCCCAACAATCCACTCAAACTAAAAATTCAGTGATATGGACCTCACTAGTATTATTGTTAATAACTGGTAAGTATGTAAACCCCTCTTCTAGCCCACAAACACCCCAATGGTTGACCTGGACAATCACGTCAGCCACAGGGGACGTTGTCAGCTCTATCATGGGCAACCACCCCCCTAATTCCTGGTGGCCTGACTTACATACTGATATATGCCAATTAGCAGCCGGATCTTTGGACATCCCGGATTGGGAACCCACAAAAACGGTACCCCTGAATGCTCAGGTAAACCCACATGTACACTGGGGTGCGCCCTGGGAGGACTTGGTTACCGGGGAATTGGTTGCAGACACCCCGATCTCTGCTACGAGCTTCATGAAACACTGTTTTATGTTT